TTATGTTTTGATCGAAATCGGCAGTTGTTGTCGAAAAACTCCAATGACTTCGACTAGAACCCTATTACAAGAAATACATCGGAACATGATGGAACCTACTGATTTTGTTCACTGTCCGACCACTTCCGTATGAATCCAGCAGTCAGAATGATCGATACACACTTTCTCGTTCTCATCTCTTATACATTTCGCCTGTCTCTAATTAACACAATCGTTGCACTCAATCAGTTATTGCTCTTGCAAATGGAATCGTTCTATCGAAGGGCAATCAATCTCTCGCTTCTTTCTAACCGTTTCTCATTTGGCATATCATTCTATCCATCTTTTCACTCATGAATACAGAAAAAATCTCGTTTTTCAGTGAAAAACTATCAAACACAAACAATATTTTGCAATAGTGAACTAGCGAAAATCTCGTTTTGACTTCAGTCAACTGCTAAATTTCTTATTATTTATGCAAGAGTTGCTTTTGATGTTGCATACAGAATACTTGAAGGAAAATGAACTATTTTACTAACACTAAATAGGCTACTAACTTGTGTTAATACATTCTTTTCTTAAAATCTTAGTTTTCTATTTATTTATTCTTTCTAAAATGTAATATTACGATACGCAATTAGTGTTAGAGATATCAGAAAGAATAGAATTTATTTTCGTTTATAAGATCAGAATTTTTCATAAATTTTATTCGAATCTCTGCTATCGCTCTGATATATCAATTTGAAATCTTTCAATCAAACAATAGACAATAAATTTCTTGTTTCAATATATTCATTCTATAGAAAATCAAATTTATTCAAGTAACAAATTGAAAATACTCAGAATACATGTATCTCTGTATCAAGAAAATCATTTTTGAAATGTTTTGGAAATCGAAATATTCTATCAAAACATATATATCTCATTTTACTACAATTAATTCGTGTTGCATTTCGTGTAAAATTGTGTGTAACTCTTTGTACAGATTTAAAATCAGTAAAAAGCAGAATATCATATGGTAAACATGTTTTGGTATCAAGTAGAAATTGTTCAATATAATCATTATGAATTTGTTTGAAATGAAGATATTTAAGACGAGGATATTGAATAAGTAAGAAATCTTCATTGTTATTATTTGATTTTGTATATTCTTTATTGTTTTGTCCTTTTTGATTAGTAATAGTTAAGTTTTTCAAAAATGGAAATGATTGAGCAATTTGAATAAAAAATTCATATTCAAAAGGATGTTCATCAAATAAAGATACGTCACTAACATATCGAAATAATCCACCTGGAAAATTATTTGAGATATTTTCATAAGTTGGTATTGGGTACGGACAGGAATAGATATGGCATTGACCATATTTTGCTTCGAAAAAATAATTAACACAAGAAATTATTTTATTATTTGAAAAATCTTTAAATGAATGTTTAATATCTTCATTTGATGGTAAATCAATTTGATCTTTTAGCAATATAGTTGACTGAATACTAAATCTAAATTGATTTAATTCTGGCATATAATCAATGATATTTTGCTTTAAATCATTTCCATCAATAAATTTCTTATCACAAACCACCGATGACAAATACAAAGCAAGTTCTTCTAAATTTGACATTCGATGTAAAAGTGGTATGATTACGTTATCACAGAAACGGATTTCAGAAAAACAATACAATGAAAAACATCGCAAATTTAGAAGTTTTTCCTAAAAAAACAGAATAAACAGACGTTAGTGATGCTTAATAAAAACTTACTTTATTTATTTTGAAGTTTGATTTAGGTAATGAAGATGCTATATCTACATAGAATGCTCGAAGTTGATTGAAACGACCATCAAGTAAAAAAAGACAATCATCAACCGAGCTAACTTTGACACGCAATTCTAATAGAGTGGATGAAAAGATAGTTGGAGGTAAATATCTGAATGAGATCCGTTGAAAAGAAGAAAACCATGGATGAAACTTAAAATATTGTAAATTGATAAAAGTATTTAAGATATTTGTAAATATACGTGTATTCACATCGCGTGGTCTACCTTGTTCCCTACTAGATTCAATCATGAGTGATGAAATTTGATTTTTCAATATATACATTAAAGAAGTTTCATCTAAAAATAAATACAAAATTATTG